AATATTTTTATTAATAAAAAATTTTATTTTGGACTCTCTAGGCTTTTTATTATTACAACTATAGAAGAACTTGTATGTTTGCTATAAGTTAAAAGCAAAATCTATCATTTCTTCTATTAATATAGTTTCACAAATCCCAGAATATCTATGTTAAGTTTTAATATGAGTTTATATAATCTTTGTTGATATCTCTATTATTATGTATTTTAATTTTAATAGTATTGTCTAATATAAAGTTATCTATGGTATAATTATTATATAGTGTTCATTCTTAGTCTATTTATTCAATAGTGTTCTTTTTGATTATACTAATAATTTACTAATAGTAAGCTTATTGCCTTGAAGATTGTATTCTTTTTTTCTCCTATTAAGATGTATCCTTTTCTTAATTTCAGTTTCTAATTTATCCTCCAGTATTGTGTATCAGTTGGGCCTTATATTGTTTCTAATATCAGTTTGATATATTTTTATATCATTAATTTGTTGTTTATATAACTGTATAAATTTAGTATTAAATTTTTCAACTTTATTGAAATTCTGTTTTTCTTGAGAACACTTTTGTTCTTGTTTAAAGTATTCTTTTGCACTCTACGTAAGTTTGTGTCTATGGATACAAATATATTGTTTTAAGATATTATTAAAATCTTGTGCTATTGGAAAACATATTACATAACCTCTTCTTTTAAGTATATATAAATTTTTAGAAATGTAGCATGTTCTAGCCTTGGTATGTTTATTACTCTTTCAATTAGTCTGATAATAATATTATATACTATATATAGTTATAAAGATTATGAATTATGCTATTTGATAATTTTATTGATTTCTTTATTATCAGGTTCATTTTAAAAAAAAATACTTCTGATGGTTTCTGTTACAATATAGATCATTCATTTTTTCTCAAGGTCAATATATTGTTTGTGAGAAATGATATATGCTTTGATTCTGCATTATAACTGTGAGTGGTTATAAATATGGATGTTTATTGTTTGTCCATATTAATTGAAGACTACTTTGATTTCTTGATGTGAATAATTTCAGTCAATATCTATCAAAGTAACTACCAATAATATTTTTTTTTCCTCCTTTGTTTTTTGAAACACTTTTTGTTTGGTAGTTGATTAAAGCTTGACCATTTGTCTATTTCTAAGAATATGATGATAAAATTGTCTTTCTCTTTTCTATTAATTTTTTCAAGGCATTTTAATACATTCTCTTTCTTTTCACAGCAGAATATTATCCAAGAATTATCATTGATGAATTCCTTTGTAAAGGAGTAAGAGTCTTTTGATAAGTCTAATATTTTTTGAAAATATACTATTTGTTCTGTTTTGGTTTTTCCTGAAAGTCTTGAGATAAATACATCTATTTTGAAATCTCTATTTTTCTTGATATGATATAAATTAATACAAATGTTTTTCTATTTCTTGTCTTATATTATTCTCTCTAATTTTTTGACAATAACTTTTATTTCAATTTTGTCTTCTAGTTCTTTGTTTCCTATTTCAACTTCAATAATGATCAGGATTTCAATTAATGTAATTATTTAAACTTCTATGGCTATTACCTTATTGAATAAATTGTTAATAAGAAGATTACTTCTGACTATTGACTGATTTGTTAATAATGGATATAGAATGTATTTGTTCTATCTGTTCTATTATATTTATTATTTCTTTTCTAAAAAGTAAACTAGAGAATTTTTTTTTCTTTATTCTATAGTCTATAAATAGAGGATATGTTATCTAAGAATATTGGCTTTAATAAAGATAGTGTGATTAACATTTAAAATTCTAATAATTATACTATTGATAATTGAATATCTAGTTGAATCTAAGGCTGGATTTGTAATAGTTTTATAAATTGAAGTGATATTCAAGAAGGTTTGTAAAACCTATAATTTTCTTTATTTATTATACTTGTTCATTAATTGAATTAAAGTTTCAATGATATATGTTTTTCTTTTCTAATGATCTATAGGAGTTTGTATTTTTTTATAGATATATTGATTATATAATATAGAAAATATATTGTCATATAGTATTGATATGTTTTAGTAATTGATATTTTGGATAGTACTAGGGTTTTTTAAGTTATATAATAGTTATTTCTTGTTTATTTGAATAATACTTGTTTGTTTGTTTTGTTTATTTACTCTTGTTTATGTAAATAAGATATTAGTTTATTGATTATAAGCTATATTATTATTTTTAGAGCTATTGTGTTATTGACAGTTGCTATTACATATAAGTATAAAATGTAAACAAGTTGTTTATTAGATACACAAGTGGATTACTATTCAAGTTGGTAGATATAATATATTTGTATTATATAATCTTAGATATAAAGTATTATTATGTTAGTAATAAAAAAAAACTCTTTCTGCTGATCCTCTGATCATACATAAAAAAGATGTTCGCAAGAAGTTTCTATACTTCTTTATTAATAAAGTCTTAATACTTTCATTAAAACAACTTGAAGTATAACTTCAAGAGTCACTTCTATCTTTTCTCTTTTGTTTACAAACCTTTTTACTTAAAAACTTGGCTTCAAGTAATTAAGAAAAGTCATGTAACACCTTTGCTACCAATGACAAGAAAGTTCCCCAAAAAAGAAGAACTAACTGTGAAGTACCCGAAGGCCTATTTAACATTTGAAGCGAGAGGTATATAGAGTTTTTTGATGACAGAAGAGCTTATTTTTCCCTTTTTAGTTACTTATAGACCTCTTAGAACTATTGCTTTTATGGTTTTCTGGAAGACTTTATCTACCTCAGTTTGATTCTGAATTTTTGGTAGCACAAATCCTTACCAAAGGTGATTGGCTGACATGAAACACATTAGTTTTTGGAATGTAAACAAGCTCCTATTGGTCTTACTCACATGTTCCGATGATGTCATTGATGATTGGAAAGAAGATTCCAGAAATGTTTGTCCCCAAAAAGCTCAAGTCCCTCAATGAAAACTTCTATAACATCAAAAGACCAAGTGATGGATAATGTGGATTGCAAATTTCCATCTCTTACTTAAGTTCCTCAAGTAATGACAAAGCTTTAATGGAAAAAAGCTGAGATTTAAATGCTTTTTTTGAGATATCCCAATCCGATGCTCACTTAAATAAAAGACCAGTTGAATTGACTTGTCTGATGCCACAGGTGATAAAAAAAAAGATTCCTTCCAAGGTTCAAGTGAAGCAATAAGACTATCTCAATCAGGCAGATTTCTTTTGAGAAAAGGTTGTTTTTATTTTTGGATTTTTTTGATGGGCCTTGAATTATTCCCTTTTCCCAATCATTTTTCCCTTTCCCTTTTTAACTTGTAATTCATTAGTTTTTGGGCAATCAAAAGTGACAAACTGTTGGCAATGATTCTAGTAGATAGAGGTTATTACCAATATATTAAGGGAGTAAGATATTATCTCCAAAATATGACTTAGAGTACTTTTGTATGAAGATGAATTAGTCACTTTGTAAAAGTCTATAAAATATTGTAAATTTGTTTCAATTTTTCAATAAGAACATGCCATTGTGACATGATTGTAGGTTAAAAAAAAATAAAAATAAAAATAAAGTATTATTATGTTGTTTATGATACTTTTTACTGTTGAATAATTAAGGTTTGGACATCTTTCTAGATATTGTGAGCTCTGAGCTTTAACTAATTTATTGATTAAAGTTATTGTCTATAGTGCTTCTTTTAGTATCAAAAAAGGTGTTAACCTCCACTAGCCTAGCTGAAAGTTTTGTAAAATTGAGATTGGGTTTTCAAAAGTTTATTATAAATCAATTTTCTTAGAGTTATCTTTTTTCTATAAATAAAATTATGTTATAATAATTTTTTTCTGATACTTATCCTATAATTGTTATTATAAAGAAGTATAATATTTTTGAAGCTTGATAGTAAACTATTGTTATTTTTAAACTATATGTTTCTTAGATAATGAAGACTGGTTTCTTGATTTTTAAAAATATTATCAAAAAAGAAAAATTTTAAGGAAATTGAAAATCAGTAATATATTTTTATCATTTTTTATTTATGTATTTTTATTTATTTGAAATGAAAAATATTATATATTATATAAGCTTGATTATAGACTTACCAATTAGTTTAATATGAATGAATTGGTTTTTTTTTTTGAAAAGAATTATTCATCTATTAAAATCAATTAATTATTCAAATCATCACTCTAATTAAATAAAATCAAATAGTTTAATTAATAATATATAGTATGTTACTAAATAATAATTGTACTTTACTATACATTTGAAATTTATTAGTAATGAACTGCTAGCTAGGATATCTTTAATTAGAAAGGTATTGATTTGAATTACTGATAGAATGAAAAATCATTTTCAATGTGACACCTAAAATTAATTGACCTGATTAGAATAGAAACTTTAAAACGCATGTATAGCCAACAAATGTTTAATAAGTAACCTTTTTAGTTAGATAGCAGGTAAAAAATACTGTATATTAAAATTATCTCGAAATATTATAAATATAATTATGCTTGACGAAATACGATAAACTTAACATTCATTACTATACAGTACATACTGTATTATACGCATATGGAAGATATAAGGTATGTTTAAAATTTATTTTCAATTTAATAATGATTTATTAAAGCATGTAAAAATATTAGTTCATTGGCCTTTATCTCGAATTATAAACATCGTTACCAAGGGATTTCAAGAAAAGTTATCTTTAGCTATAGAAAAAACATAAACACTTTTCGCCTGCCCTCGATCTTCATCTTTATGCGAAAGTATTCTGCTTTTTTTTTAATGCACGTTGCTTTATAAATAAGGAAATATGGCGTGCAAGAATGATATATTGTCGGAACGTGATTTGCGTAATAAGAATTCATTTAAATGCGTCATAAAAAATTTCCATGAGATAATTAATAAAATCATGCCACACTCCGTATCGTTGTGTGTATTTGTAATATTAAAATCAACCTTACTTTTCCAAAAGGTTAAAAAAGAAGTCCTCCATAATATGGATGCTCAAGAATTCTTTGATCCCCCGGAAGAAGTGATATCAAAGATCCATAAGTTAGCAGAATTGATCCGCAATTCAAAGCACGTGGTACTGTTCACTGGGGCTGGTATTTCGACAAGCGCTGGTAGGTCGTGATCCGGTAGTACTTCGGTTATTAATAATAATAAATGAGAAATACAAATACGGTGATACTATCCATTTTTTCGACCAGGGATTCCGGATTTTCGAGGTAATTTCCTTGACAAGCAGCCAAAGCTTTCGGCTATAGACTATCTCATGATCTCACGTGCAATGTCTGAATTGGATTCTTTCAATATAAGGCCCACAAGGTGGTGGCTGTTTTGTTTCGCCATGAATTTTGCAATCCGCCTATTTATACAGGCTAAATTGGTTTTCACCACGTTCAGGTGTTTGGACGTTACGCGACAAAGGAATCCATGCCACCCGCCCCGAGGTTACGCGTATCCAACCAACCAAAGGCCACATGGTCATAGTCCGACTCTTTGAACTGGGTCACATGAAGTATCTAATATCGCAGGTAACACTATCCTTTTTAGACGATAATTGCGTCGACAAATAGATTAGATAATTGAAATTTTGATGTAGAACACTGACGGGTTACATGTTCGAAGTGGCATTCCATTTACCGCCATATCCGAGTTACACGGCAACGCAAATATCGAGCGATGTCCGAAATGTGAGAGATCTTATTGGAGGAAGTTTGAGGTTCGTGAAGCACATGACGTTAACACTCACCAAACCTCACGTCGATGTGATGCTTGCGGCCGTAAGGAATATTTGGAATTCCTAGATTTGTCATTTCTTCTTTTCTCGGTCAGTAATTCGATTAATTAATAGATCACCTTCGAGACACTATTGTCAACTTTTCCGAAGGTCTTCCCAAAGAAGCCCTTCAAAAAGCCTTTGCGAATTCTCACTTGTGCGATCTCCACATCGTGCTTGGCTCGTCTTTGACCGTGAGCCCGGCAAACGACCTTCCGCAGATTGCGGTGAAGAATCACAAACCTTTGGTAATAGTCAACTTGCAAAGGACACCGTTGGACGATGTCGCTTCCTTGCGTATCTTTGCGCGGACTGACGAAATCCTCATTGGATTGTGCAAAGAACTCGGGGTTGAAGGATATGATCAAGTTAGAGATCTTAAGTCCGACAGCTCGTTTAATGAAATGATAATAATGCCCAATGCGACTCGTAGATTGAACGTGATTAAAGAAGCTAAAGAGCAATTGAGGGAATGGTCCGTCAGCAAGTTGCTGAGTGCGCTTAGGGAACGCGGTTTTGCTTTGCACATGGGCATTGAGAAAGACGAGTTAATCAACGTTGTTATGCGTAAATGCAGAGATATTATTTACTGGGCGTAATGATGCTGAATTTGTTGCGTAGCTGTAGTTGTTACATTTTGAAATGACCCTTCTACTCAAAAGGGACAGTAATGATTGTTTTTTTTTTGCTCGACATATAAATTTTTTGATATTCATAATCTTCGGAGATTAAAATTTTGATTTTTTTTTTTTTTTAAAAAAAAATAATGTCAAAAAAAATGTTATATACTGTATGTCGATCTGTGTGACACCGAGCCGCAGCCAGAAAAATATGGCGCAGAGACTGCTATCCATATTTGCGCAGTACATTACAGAATATAATACATAAAGAATAATTGTTCATTCATCTTTGTTGCAATTATGTCCAATTACAGTATATCTCAATTCCTCAACAGCATGGTCGATGATAATTTTAATAGGCACCTTTGCCATCCACCATTAACATTTTACTTCATTATTTCTCTTCCAACCAACTGCCCATTTGGATAAACAACCTGAAATAATTATGAATCAGATGGTGCAAGTAACGCGCGTCCCACTTCAATTTACAATAATAAGACTTCCGGATATGAACAGTTTCGCGATCGACATGCATGCGTTACACAATCTTCAAGTCGAAGAGGAGAGCAGTGTTAAACCGGTTTTACGTTTTTCTTTTCTTTTTTTTCTTTTTTCCTTTATCTTTTTTTTTTTTTGGAATTCTGATTCACGATTTATGCGAAAATGGTATCTTATTATGAGGATCACCGGATTATCTGTTATTGTTGACCGTGTCGAGGGGGACGCGGGTCTGTTGTCCAAATAGGGGAATTCCCACCTCCTTAAAAATAAATTTCGCGGCATGAAACAATGTAGGGAAAAAGAAAAAAAAAAAAAGAATTACGTATTAGCGATTTTGTGAATACCGTAGTAAGGTGATGACGACAAAAGGTATCCACCAAACGGAAAATACTGTACCCGATCACCTCATCGAGTATCAAACACCATAAAGGGTTATGGTGAATATAATTGAGGTGACACCAAACGGTGTCAGCCCGATAGCGAAAAGCCTTTTGCTATTTGTCCCCGACGACAATAAGCGATGAATTTCCGACTTCACGGTGTCACCTTAATCATAAGCAGTAAAATTCATCGGAGTTTGTAATCGTTCAGCAATGAGTAAAATTTGAAGAATAATATGCACCTCATTTACCTTTGTTCACGCAATTAGGGGCATCCTTCTTTACTGTATATGCTATTAGTCCAAATGTTGTTGCTATATGCACTTACCTCTGTGGTCATGCTTTAAATTCTAACGGCACGAAATGATGCCAATTTTAGCTTTTCTTTACTGGTTACGAGGACGTTCACTTTGGTCTGTTTTCACCCATTTACCTACTATTTCGCGTTAGTTCCGTCAGCGTGATACTTTTAGCTGACCAAGAAAAAAATTTTCCTTCTCTTACCTAAGTAACCAATAGCATACCATCGTCTAATACTTGCTCTAAGCTATCGGTTGACTAAAATAAACTTGCGCATTGCAAAATCACAAACATTACGCGATTTAATGACGAGATATGTTTATTGTTATTTAACTCGATTCAGCGTCGTTTGCTCGTCGCATTTCTTCAAACATCTCTTCCCATTTCTTTAATTTAAACTTTTACAACATACTGTATATCGATTATTACCATGAGAAGCCGAAACACGTGTGCAGGTATTTGAGCATAATGCAGGTATTTGACACACCTTATATCCATCACACTTTTACTATCATTATTAATTTTTTTTTTATTGTGAAACTTAATCTAAAACAATAAAGTACCATAAGAAGTAGTGACGTTGTTTGATTTATCATACTGCATTGCAAATTAGCGCTTATCGGTACAGCGAACCGGTGCGATGAAAAAAAAAAAAAAAAAGGGTGAACGGTTTACTCTATCTTCATGGTAAAATAAAAAATAAAGTGGCAGCAATTTACTTACTGTATGTAATTTCGGGTATTAATATTAATAATGTTAAATTCTACTGAAAATATACAATATATAATGATCTCGGCTCCTTATAATGACAACGATTAATTATTTTTCGGAACCAATCATTTTTATGAGCCCGCGCAGTAAGAAATGGAACGATTATCACAATTTTCGCATCAATGAATGAAAATTCTCAAAGTAAACAAATTCAAGATATCACGTATGTGTCGAGTGCGATGATTATAATGTAAAAATGTGCGTGAAGATCATGTGGTTGTCCCATATGGAAGCACATTACATGGTTTTGCGTATTTTACTGTTGATAGACCGATGTATCCGCGTCCGTTTATCATTGACATGCCTTTCCTTTTTTGAGGTTTCAACAAGAGATCGCGTGCAGGATTCTACAAAGCAAACACAGAACTTGAAAAGAGTAATGTGTCACTCCATGAAACAATCAAAAATCTGTGCCATTCATTCATTCATACACTATCTTTTGGTTAATAATAATAAGATAATAATAATAACTGTGAAGTCACACTAGAAACAAGAATTTTAAAATAACAAAATCATCACAGAGGAGGTCGTGGGAGTTCATAATTGTGCGCTGTTCAAGTAAACGTGATGCTGGCTGAATCTTACAAGATTTATAATCGGAAAAAAAAAAAAAGGTTGTTAATTTTAATAATTGGTGTGTGAACAAAGTAATACACTTTTGTTGAGCTCATTCAATGGGTTCTATCGAACTATAAATACCTGGTCGCCGCCGTTCAGATTTTTTTTTTAAAAAAAAAAAAAGAAAGAAAGAAAGAACGCGCATTACATCTTTTTTTTCTGTGAAAAAAAATTTTATTTTATTTTATTTTTTTTTTATTTATATTCCTTTTCTTCAATCTTCTTCTTTCCACTTGAACAAGGCAGGCGCGTTTAGAGTCAGAGCATTGAACGCCGCCTATTTCTATCACCTTTTGGGCCCCGTCCACTTCCCTTCACTGAAACAAAGAACGCAAACGCTTTTGAATAAAAGCTCATATATCCATCCCCCCTTTTCAGAATTAATCAACGTGCGCAAGATAAATTATGTCAGACGTCGGTTGTCAGCGCGAATTTTGTCATTTCGCTCCCGTCCACTCATCTTATCAACACCACTTCGCTGCAGTTCACAATCCTCTCTCGCACCACCACCTGACCCCCTCGTTAGATCCGCCAAATGTCAACTCTCCTCACCTTCTCACCTCGCATTATCTCTTTCCCACGAAACTTCCGGACCCAAAAGTGATTCAGCAAGTGATCTCCGAAATTGATCCGGTAACCCATTTGAAAATCCTCTCTCAAATCTCCGTGCCCATTGAGGAATTAATCCGCCCTACAACAAAATCCCGCAAAAGTGGCGGCGGCATCCCTCGTCCCCAAAATCTATTCGTGCTCTATCGTCGTGATTTGCAAGCAAAGCTGACAGCGAAATTTGGCCCCGAAATTGGCTCTCACCTTCCCTTCGTTTCCAAGGAAGCGTCGGAAGGATGGAAGATGGAGGCTCAAGAGGTCAAGAATATCTATGAATTCATTGCGGAATTGGCCAAGAAAGTTCATGAGCTGACCTACCCGAATTATGTATATAAACCGAGGAAGCGGGCACTCAAGTCGGCGTTAAACAGGTCAATGTTTGATAATGAGTTATATCGTTTGGCGAGTCGGCAACGCAAGGACTCGAATGATGATTTATCGGAGACAAGTGGTAACGGTCAAAACGACAAAGTCGCTCTTGGGGTTCACAATATGCTTCTTCCTGATTCACATATCTCACCCACACACAACCAACCTCACTCGCAAAGACGTCATTCGACCCCTCACGTTCTTCCTTTTCAATTACCACGCAGCAAGCATAACTATGACCCCGAAGGTGGTGCGAATGATCGATACGGAAGTCACCAACAATCATCCCCTCCTTCGCAATATCAACACTCGGGCCCCTCTTCTAGGTCTCATGCTGAGGACACCTCCGTTTCCGTCGTTGGTGCACAAAGAAACCTTGGTCGATCTCGCCAAAGCCACCAGCAGCAACGCCCGCTTTCTGTGTGGCCGGTTCCGCGGAAGACACTTTCGAATCATCATCATTATAAATCGTCGCGAAATGAAGGTCACGTAGTGAGTCCCGCGGTTTGCGTGGTTCCATTTGAACGTTCCATTAAAAGTGCGAACAACTTGTCCCCCTCCCTTTACGCGGATGGCAACGGGTCATCTTCGTCAACTGATACTTCTCAAAATTTCACGACAAATTACGTTTACCCCTCTCCCACCGTCACGCAAATTAAAGACCTGTCCGCGACTCCTCCACTCACCTCGCGCTCCCTGTCCAGGTCAACATCGTTTGCGTCGTCATCGGCATGTGTCCCTTCACCCACGCTTAATCAACAGGGTCTTCTCAATCGAGAATTTTTTGAAATCAGGGATTCAATGTATTCTCCTGCACGTGAAACAAACTCCGGGATGAATTATGAAGAAAGGGAGATCGAAAGGAGGAGAAGGCACAGCGACGGCACGATCACGAGCGATAGCTATCACAATCAAGTCGGCAATGATGAAACACCACCTTGGTGCTTTCCGGTCACCGCGTCATCCTCGTCGTCAAGCTTCAATCTGCATCGTCCGTTTCAGCAACGTCATTCCTCTCACCCTCGACCGCGCTCGCCCAACTTTCCCACGGCCATTATCACACCAAGAGATTGTGGTGCCGCTCCGCAATTACCTCCATTGAATACGTTCTTGCCATCTGAAAGTAGTGCGACAATCACTGGGTGCGACAGTTATGATCGTAAGATGTGCAGATCGTTTGGAGGACCGGTTTGAGCAATAGCAAAAGGTATATGATGAATTTTACTTGGTGTTACATTGTTCTTCGGAATATGTGAATTTTGTACATACATATCTTTGTTGTGGGTGCACGAGTGTTGCCGCAAATGAAAGTGTCCATTCGAATATGCAATTATACGTACAGTATATGCATATACAGTATATCTATATATTTTTTTTCTTGTTTATGCCTTTCCCGTCTATCATCGTTATCATCTTATCGAGTTTGCTCTGTTTATTTTTTATTTTATTTTATTTTATTTTATTATTATTATTATTTTTTTTTTTTTTACCCTCGTACTTAAGGTTTTGCTTTCTTTCCTTCGTTTCGTGGTGTGCACATTTATTGTGAAACGGCAGTGGTTCGACCCAAGATTTAGGGGAATGCACACTTTTTCTTGCGTTTGAAGTACACACAGTATATTAATATGATCAATTTAAAAAGAAATTATTCTAATTAATCTATGTCATGTTTATTCTGTAATATCATTTTGTGAACGGAAATAAAGATAAATAATAAATAAGTGAAATTAGTTATGAAAAAGAACCCACGCACACGTCTCTTCTTGTTCGCCGCTCTTCAATCTTCACCTTCCCCCCCGTGAATCGCATCACATGTGGTGTCATAAGTTGGTTTGTCACTACTCTTGAAATCTTATCGTTTACGACAGTAAAAAGCGACCGGTGGAGGTATTATTCGTCATCCCGCGCGATAATTTCGGAGATCACTAAATAATGAAGAATAATAGATTCTCGAATTCACTTGTTTCCCAATAAAGGAGATAAAGGTGCCAAATTGTGAACAAGAGGAAATAAGGTGTCTACATGATTGTGATTCCTTCGGAAGAAGATAATGAAGTGCGTCGGGATTTTAAAATGACAAAAGGAAACAATGCGCAGATGGTGAGGCACGAGCATTTTTAACAATGGTAAGAGAAATTCGGCGAATCTCATGACCGATTGTATGATTGTTTACGTGCCTATCGCAGGAAGATCTTTGTCCCAATTCAAGCACCACGAGAATTAAGAGAATGAATAATGAATAATGAAACCAACACTCTACTCCAATGATAAATGATTTTTACTGTAAGTCCTTGTGGCTAGGTTCAACACGAATTAACTTTCCCTCTTTGTTCTGGCGGGATTTTCTAGGCTAATTCGCGAGGTGAGGATTTGTATTTGGGTAATTATTTTCGACGGCGGACAGGGATTTTTCGGACCCATAACATAATTGTGATCCTAAAATTTGCATTATATACGTATCATTCAATAATGGTGACCGAAAGAAATTCATATTTAGTATTTTGGTCGGCTTCAAGAATAATAAATTGTCCATTTGTGTTGGCAATCATGCCAACTGGTTCGTGTTGTCAGGCCAGAAATCTTTTTGGTGCGACCAGTATGAATCAACAATGTTTTAACCACACAATGAAATGGCCAAGGTTCGTGGGTTCAACAGGTAAATGAGGCCTATTTATTTCACACTTTGTCACTAAAAACTTTTTCGAGTTTTGGTCAATCAAAGCACCATCAGCAATCACCATAGTTCTGATTGAATGGCCCGGGCAGGCCATTGTCAATTCTTGGTGGAAAATGCACGGCGAATTCAATTTTTTTTTTTTTTTTTTTGATTCACCAAAAGCACAAATCAATGATAATTGAATGAATGGTAAGGATGCGTTTTGCCTTTTTCCTCATGAGAAACACTAAAATTTCCCATCCCCAAATATCCAACATTTGAAAGAAAAATCCGCATCCCGTTTCTAAATAAGAAGTCAATATTAAATGACGATGCGTGAACTCGGAAATTCATAGACCACGAATTTTCATTCTTGTGCAGGTGTTTTGGGTAGGTCGTGCAACACCTTCCCACAGTGAATATCATCAGTAAACAGAGGGATTTTGAACACGTGAGAGCCGCGTCTACTGACACCGATCCAATTAAACAAAGCAAATCACCCTAATGCTGTATCGTTTCTTCTTGGCAATTTGATACGGGATCCGATTTTGTTTCAGGTCGCACCCTGTGGATGATTGATTCTATGGGTGTAACTCACGGCAATTGTTAAAGAACAAGTAAATAATACCCATTTTTGAGGTTTCATTTATGCGACATATGGTTATAATGCAAAGCCATCTCTAAGAAATACATAGCACACGGTAATAAGAAACCTCATAACATCTAATGTTTAATAATGCGCAACTGCCACAATTCGAGAGAACGATTCGCTAAAAGGGATCGAAACATTATTGGGATAGTGCTTTCGTTAAGCCCTGTTAACTTCTCCTTTGCAAAATAGCCCCCCCCCTGAAGTTACTTTCCAAATAAAGGGAACAATTATAAGGTGATTCAGGCCCCCCATTATTAAGAATTCGTGAACCTTTAAATGCTGATAAAGTTTGATTGTGCCTAGCCAATCAAGTTATTCGTCTCCTATTTGTGTTCACGCTGATGGGGGTTTTTTTTCTTTTTTACAATCTCCAGCATCTCATCGCATATTGAGGCGTTTGGTTCCAACAAAAGAATCGTCGATCACTGTGACGCTTTAGTTGCATTGTTTGCCATGCTGTTAGCTCACGATTTCTTCCTTATACCGCGAATTCTCTTATTTGATAAATTCTCGGCTCACTTGGTTTAATGTCGGTTATTCGGGCTAGCCAGAATTGACGTATTGATGCGATTAATTATCCGTGCTCATTGAAACTTCGTTGAGATTTCATGTTTTGTAGTTTGGTGTCAAATTTCGTTAGGCAAAAGGATCGCCAGAAAGATGAGTTCTTTGTCACAAGGGCGCAAGTTATCCAAATAAAAAAAGAATTGTATAAATAGCAAACGTGTGAAACGAGTTGACACTCCTGGTCCTGATCTCCACACGGAATTTTTGCAACAATGAAAAAAGAAAAGATGATCATTTATGCTATTTATTCCAAAATCGATCTCGAAAACACGTGACGAAAGATGAAACTGCTACTTCAACCCGCTTTTTCCAGGAGTAATTTGTATCATCACTCCCGATGCACCGTGAAAACGGCACATATGAAAAAGATCACAAAGGACATTACAGATAAAAAGATGGTCATTTTCAAAGTGACCTACTGAAATGAATATTCTCGGCAACTTTTGGAAATTTAGCATGAGGAGCATTAAAATGGTACAGCTAATCTATTTGGCTATTGTGTTCGTCATCTCGGAATTAAGAAAGAAAGAAAAGTGAGGTAAAATTAATGTTTCTCCTGTCTTTCACTTCTCAATTTAGAAGTATGTTTAATCAAATTTTCTCCGCCTGAATCGTGCTTATATCAAAAAGGTAGCTGCTCATTAATAAGCCATTTTGTAATATGACGAGATCCCTTAAATAAACCCCTTCAAATATATACAGTATATATAATTTTTTTTTTTTTTGAAAGTGTATAGTTTGTTTTCGGCCCGGCAGGGTGTATTTCTAACGATTCGACAGGTTTGATCGTTCACAAGGATATTGCGTTCAATAAGTCCACGTGAAAACGAATATCAATCAACTTTGCATCGTTAATGTTTGTTATTACTTCATGCGCATGTGAGATGGCAGGCTACTATAATTGGAATTAATTATTTATCATATGCGCATTTATAATCATTTATAATCCATGATTTGCACACGGGGTTTTGTAATCAATCGATTATTAATTATGTCACCTATATACTATGCCGGTTATATGGGGATCATTAGCAATCTGGTGTTTAAGGACAATCGAAATTTCAAAAGGGCCCACCTCTAAACCAAAAAAGTGTTTTTGCCAAAAAGAACTGGCGCCATGTAGAATAAGCATAATTGCAATATAGTGGTTTTAAAGTATAAATAAAGTGATGGTCTAACGAAAAATAAATAAAGAGACGGACCTAACGAAAAAATAAATAAAGAGACGGGCTGACTAAAAACAAATTAAGAAACGGGCTAACGAAAGACAGATAGGGAGATACTGGCAAAAAAAAAATTAGAATTAAAATAAATGTTATTCTTTATTTCTCTTTACTTTTTGTACTAATCAATTAATGAGGAGTTTATAAATAAAGGCAAACTATGAAAAATCTCTACCATTTGACGATGATCGAATCAAAGAAATTGTACAATAATTTACTTGATACACAGTGGATGATTATAGAAATATATAACAATCGAAAAAAAAACATTTTTGGAAACGTCGAATCAATGCATTTGTTGATTCGTTGATTGATACATGATTATACAATATACTTTAGCTTGACTCATGTACAGTATATGATACTCTAGGAGAACAATGGTGACGTTTTTTTTTTTCCATTTGAAAGTTCCTATACCGAAATTAAAGGATTCGGAATCATAATAAAATTTATAATTTGAAATAGTAATGATAATGTGCACGATTTTTGACCGAAAAATTTTTTTTAGAAAAATCTTGAAATATATTGCCATTCGAAAAGTCGCGTATAGACGGGTCACGGAGAATCAGGGCGGTCATCCATTTTTTCTAATGGTGAAATCAAGAATTTTCGTGTTACAGAAAAATTCATGTTTTTTCCAATAGGTGTAGAAAAAAAAAAAAAAGTTTTTTTTTTTTTTTTATGTAGTCAATATGTTCATTTATTATCTTGCTCAAAAAAAGGATTTTACATGTTTAAAAAAGTTTTTTTACCAATGTTGTTTTAAATCTATAGACCTAATTTTTGAAAGTCTGGAAAAATCGATGCCAAATAATTACTGTGTAATTGATTGGTTTTGCGATAATATAAAATAAGAATACATAATCTTTTTATTATTATTACATATATATATTTTAAAAAAAACTTCCGTACAGAGTGGTTTCACTATGTTTTAATATGACCCCTATGTGCATTTATCAATAGAGTGGACGCGAAATTACCAATTGAAAAATTACCGAAATCGTCATAAAGCTTCGACATGGGCATCCTTATTAGGGTGACCATTAGAAAAATATCCGTGCTTCGTGTTATGCGCGGTGCATCTGAAGGAACTTATGATTTCGAGCCGAGAACTTTGTTACCGTCACAGTCAAACTTGGTTAACAGCATACAAGGAGTGTGTGAGAATTTTTTTTTTTTTAATTTATTTTTTATCCCTTTGAGCAAAACAACTTTTTTAAAATACTTCACGAATATTATCCAATGACCAAAATTAATAATTTACCCTTTATGGGAAAAGCTGATCAGAGGAAAGTTCCATGTATCCTATTGTAGCGATCAGGAAGCAAAAAACTTCCATGTGCCTACTTCGGAATGAAAAGTAATTTTTGGTTTATTGTCTTCACGAATTTCAAAATAGATTTCCGTATACCTTAAAAATGGACTGTGTGACTGCTATCTCTAATCGTTAAGTGCACATACCAGTGGGGGAATATTGATTTTGTACGACGCAATATTGCTCCAGCGTTACTTAGATAAGGTGCAAAGAAATGATTTGTTTGTGGAGAATGAAAAAAAAAAGCGACGTGGGGGACATGCCTGATTGGTTAATGATAAGAAACTTTTTTACTCATTCAGTCCGTTAACAGATCATAAAAGTAGTTCCTTGCTGTATTTCGGACTTTTAAGGGTTTGAACGGAGAATCCATTGTAACACTTATTCGTTTATGAAATGAACTTACAACACACGATCAACGAATATGAGCTAGACACATGTGAACGATATCGTTCCAATAGGAAAGGTCTTGACGAAGGGGCCGAATATTTATGGAATAGGTTGTTTAATACGATCAAATCCGAACGCGATCGACGAATGCAGAAAACGTGAAGGCCTTTTTTTGTGCAATAATTGGGATGATATAACGCGTAAAGTTTACATTGTTGAACCTTTTATCTTTCCTGGCTTCTAAAATGATGGTTATTTCTTTTCCTTCCTTCCTTCCTTTGTGACTCTTGTGCAATGGGGTAAAACGTAAGGATCTATCCGAGTGTGAACAAAGTCATATAATAGGTGCTAGGAAATACGGTTCAATAGTTTCCGATACAGCAAACAACCTTTAAAATTCGTGGAATCAAATATGTCACAAAAACACGGAGATGAAACCTCTACCTCGATGTGCAATTATCTTAATTTTAAATACAGTATACAGTATAACCTAATAGCCTAGTAGAAAAGGAGGGATAGTATGGTGATAATTACCATGGATCACTTAGTCTATTAGTCTAATATTGGTGGAATAATAATAATTATATACTGTGAATGTTCTTAGTAATAACCTATCACATTTATGAACCCTACTATTACTGTAGATATTGCTGCTTATTTCGAAATCGCAATTGCCTGGTTTCTTAAATAACGAATATAAAAAACCAATAAAGATACATTGTACGTATAGATTTTCTTTTTGTAATTTACATAAAACCCTTATTTCGATTTATTGAATAGGTTTGTTTAAATATTATGCAGTATATACTGGGCATGTACAGTACATACTATATGCTGTATATTGCACTGTATATGCGTGTAATATAACACATAGTTTGATTCGCAGCAAATTCTATAGATTTGTCATATCAATTGTTAAAAAGGGAAAATGAACAAGAGCGTGCAATGGGTAAAATCTAAAATTTCCGAATTCTCCAAGTTGCCATTAAATTATGATGATAAGTATATTCTGCATATATGCTATATATTGATAGGCAACAACTCTTTATTAAATAGGTTTATTTTTTTTTATTTAATAACAAGATCATTTCAAACTGAAAATACAAAATTTAAATGCTATTTCAAAATAAATTTATTCAATTGCAAAAGGTATTTTAAAGGCTTGTTTGATACATTATTTTAATAAAATTAAGAAAAAAAATAAAAGCTTTTATAAATCATAAGACAACATATTTAATTGAATTTAGATTTTGAAAATTCATTTATTGCATAACACTATATTTTTATTATTAATAAGATAAATATTATTTGAAAAGAATGAGTTTCAAGAGATATCATTTTTATTAGTAGTAAATCAATTAATACAATGAGATGAAATTTATTTTTAACATGAAACAATTAAATTTGTAATAGAAGAATAATGTAAAACATAAAATATATATACTGTATACATATAATATTATAAATATTTAAATATTTTAATAAATTTAATTAAAGGCAATAATAATATACTTTCTATTAAATAATAATTTAAATTTTAAATATATAAATAAATATATATATACTGTATATAGTGGAATTGAAGTATTTTAAAATAACAAGTTTTGAAATCTATAGTATATACAGTATTATCATATAAAATTAAATATATACTGAATATTCTTAAATGTTGCCTTTTGTTTATTTATTAATCTGTTGATTGATTATTGGAAAGTTGTTCATTAAATTACCAATAAACTTTAATGATACTGTATTAATATTTTAATAATATTTGACGATTTTAAAAATATTAGATATTTGGATAATCCTCTTCTTGCAAAAAAAAAAAAGATCGGTTTAAATGCAAAATCAGAATTAAGCTTCATAAATGTTCGTGACATCCTGATGAGTATAAATAACTTTGCGATTTGCCTTGGCACACCTTATGTTCGAAAATAAGCGTTAACTTTGTTTCGCTAATATTCTCTACTTGATTCAGTTCTACCACCCTGGGATTAATGGAGCGATTTCTTGTTGATCCAAGAATAACTACTAGTTTTCCATTGACAGCCTCGAAATTATACTGGACAGAAAGTTCTCCAGTTCAAATCTTTCACCAATAGGAGTAGAACGGATCTTTGGGATTCCTCATTAAAAAGATTTTATACCTCTAATAGCTTGCATCCTTGCTTTTCGGGTTTTGATCCGTAACTAATCATGAGGACCTAGATCATCTTGAGTAAAAAGATGTAAACTAAATGATTCTCTCTTGCCAAAGTTACTCATCCATCGGGCGCTTTCTCACATACTCGCGTGAATCCATTCTGTCACGATGATCATTTTGTCCTAGATCCGATATACTGTAACTAGAGGTTCTTTATGCTGACGGCTGATTTGAAAACGAAAGTCATACATAATTAATTGCGGTGAAGGAAATGCTTGACGACTCAACATTACTTACACGAAAGAATGGAAACAACTCAATGAACGTTACGGCGGATTACTTCCACAGATTGTCATCTAACTCCAAATTTCGCACATCTCCTTTCATGCATTCCATCGGTGAGTTCGACCCAGTGAAAGATGTTGGGTCATTCTCTGGACGTTCTCCCAATTTCGCCAGATCTCATGCATGACCCTTTCATTAGCCAACATCTGTCGGATCTACATACACATTAACTCTAGCAAGCATAGTCCAGCAGCATATATAGGTAATGGCGAATGCCTTGAAAGATGTAATCGACCAGAGTGAAGAAAGAAAGATTATTAAGAATGTGAATAACTGGAACCTCCGAAAAGTATGCCGAGCGTTTCTGCTTATTGGGCATATAGGTCTCAACAGCGATCGATGTTTTAAAGAAAGGATTAACTTATTTAACAATTAAGCTACTTACCTGTTTAGTTGCGACATCTTTGTTGACGAAAGATTTGACCATAAATTTTAATTCATAATTAATAGCTGTAAGGCCCGTACGTACTTTTATAAAACCCTTTATTTAATTATTCATTTACAGGAAATCCCCCAGAATTTTTACATAGATGGATGTATTTAACCTTTTTTTTTTTTTTTTTTTGTGATTACAAAAATGAGCCCTTCGTTTGGAGCGATCGACAGATCCCTATAAATAAACCAAGCTAACCCAGTGTATTTGTCGATCTCTTGCAGATTTAACGCTTTCTATTTAAACTCGTAATGGATGCTTTAGTAGTAAAACCTCTAGAACAAATTACATTAGGTCAAATTTTTGTCAGACGAAGTTATTGCATTACATGTCAACACCAATCCCTAATATGAAGAATATGATGAGAAACCAAAATTTAGCATGCAAAAAGATGACAAAACACCAGTTTTTGATAAAAACCTTTAATCCATTGATCACTTCATCTTCCCCAAGACCTTCCGTGGGAATCCTACCGTATCTCAAGTCACTCATGTCTCCGTTTGCCCTTTTCGCAAGCATTGGCAAACCAAAATTTAAATTTTAGTCAATATTTATGCGAACATAAAGTGATTTTCTCAATAATAAGAATATAACCCAAGAATACCTTCGAATATCTTGAAGTAACTTCTTGCATTCTCTTTTCATACAATTAATTTCTCTCAATAAATTCTTTTCTTCCGCAGAAAATAGACCAATCACTTGGTCCAAAGTCAACCGGTTATCCTTCCCAAAATTTTCGAGTTTTAATGCATTATTTTTTCATGCGTCTTCATAATTTCGATCTTTCTATTTACCTCATTTTCAGCCTCCATATCATCATGTCTCCTTTTATGCGGAATCTTTATACCAGACCACTGATCGGATTTATTACATTCCTCGATAGTGTTCTTTCTGACCAGCCTTCGGTTCTCTTTCCTTTGGTCATGATATTCTTTGTATAATGTTTTGATTTGTGGGTTGGATCTTTTGTAGTTTCGAAAAGTTGAAAAATGAAGTTCAAATTTAGGTGAGGATTCAATAACGGCATGATATTTCATTACCTGCAAGAGGGGGGGAACTTTTTGGTAAATTGTTGAAGGGTTATATTGTCTTGAAGTTCGCTATTAAAAAAGTAATTGAGTAAAATCGACTCTTCGGTTTCCATGATTTTTTGTTTTTATTTTTTTTGGAAAAAGGTATGTATGGTATTTATAAAGGCGCAAGGAATTTTCTGTAAATCAGAATTTTTTTAAGCTTAATAATACGATATAAATTTATACAAATTTATAAATTACAACATAAATTGCTTACATATTATATTTATGCGCATATTATATAAAGATTCTGTAACATGTCATATACTATTATTAAAACGACTATTTATATTGTTGTA